ATATATAAGTTTAAACCCGGCATGACCATTCTTATAAAAGGGTCATCTCCCTATTTGTCTGTTTGGAAATTAGTTGCTCTTGGTTTGGCTTATTCCAATTAATATCATTTGAAGAAATATCTCTGCGGTGGATTTGATTGGATTGTTTGGTCATTCATAACGTGGTGTAGATTTAAATACTGCACAGTTTTAAGGTTCTTCATAGGACTTTCTGCAAGAATCACTCAGATCACTCTCTTTCTTTTCTGAGACATATTAAGAGGAATATTGTAACACAATACAAGAAGCTTATCCATGTATACCTTTGATTTGAAAAATGTGGAAACCTGCTGCCTTCCAGTTGCGGTGGAAATGTAGCTCTCATACTTCCCATTTATAACTTGGGGAAAGTTGCTCTAAACACCCTTAATAAAATGGAAAGCCATTTTGGAGTGTAGAAAGGCAAAGAGGCCATTCCAAGCTTCTTTGGAGCTGGTGAGGTAGAATTTACCTGCATCCCTCCCAAAGGTCACATCAGCTGTTCAGCATGGGATCTGAATTCAGCATATCTGATGGATATTGGATTGGGGGAACAGTCTGTAAAGTAGCCAACTCCAAGATAAATGAAAACAATGAGTCCATGTAAAGCTTAATGAAATGCTATATTACCTACAAACCTCTCAATATTCACTCTCAATCAAGCTGGTGTAATTTTTTTCCTTGGGGTTCTCATAATTGACCTATTTAAATCAATAAAAGCTTATTTGACACAGGCTTTTTAATTAGACAATCTAGTCATGCCTTTGGCATGAAAATCAGCTGGGTGACTTTGGGCCAGTTATTCATTCTCTCTCAGCCCAACTCATCTCATAAGGTTATTGTTGTGGAGAAAATAGAAAGAAGAATGAGTATTAGGTTTGTTTTCTGCCTTGAGTTACTTATAAAAATAACTAAAAAAAATAAAAAATGTAAAAACAAGAGTCCACTGAGCATAATGGACACCAACTGGTAGTTTACTGAGCCAGATTCAAGGTGCTGGAGTTGCAGAACCTTGGAGAGCTCCAAACAGGCCATTGTCTCCAATGAAGTTTGGCTTTATCCTGGATCATTCCTTTGGAGTTAGTCCATTCTCTTCCTGAAAAACAAGAGCTTCTAGGATGGACCAGAGTCTGGCATTGTGTCACTTCTTAGGCACCTCCCAACTTGTGCATTGCCTCCACTGAAAAACAGGCAGAAGAAAAAGTGAAACCCAGGGGTAAATCACAATTTATCTGGGACAGTCCAAATTCAGGTTGTCTGACTCAAGAGGAAATTGTTAGAATTCCAGCTCAGTGTTGGAATCCAAATGTATCATCCCTGCAAACAATCAGAAGTCAGGTCACCCAGCTATAAGGAAAGGAGCCCAGTCAGTCCTTGTTCAGTTTCCTGACCTGCGCAGAAGACCACTGTGCTTCTGAAGATTGCTGGTGAAACATCAGGAAATCTGTTGTTTAGACCATGGTCACTAAACCCTGAAACTCAACACTGCCCAACAGACATGAGATAACAAAGCCTATACAGGTATCGTTGCCTTAAAAGTTGTCTAAAGCATGGGTGTTCCGCATGTCTTTTGGTTGGTGTGTCACAGAATAGATTCTAATCCAGGTTTATGCCAGCACAAAGAAGTAGGTAGAGTTATTGGACAGTATTTAATATTTATTTGTTATGTATATGTAGGGGTGTGAGTCTATACATATGTTGTACATAGTATGTTTAGGTGTGTGTCATGTATGTGTTTCATTTTGAGAGCAGGCAACTAAATTTCATATTTGATGTGTGCCGCTGTGCCCACAGTAAAAAAAATGACAATAAAGGTTATCTCATCTTATCTTAGGACAAAAAATAAACTAGATCAAATATATTTTATATGCAGGTTAAATTAAATGTAATTGATGTCATTTTTATATGTTTAATATATTTCCACTTCTGTTATATTAAAAAAAATCACACATTGATTGAATCAGGTAACTCTTTACAAGTAACTTAATAAATTTCTATCAATTTTGGATGGACTTTCAATGTTACTTTGGGAGCCATATGTAATCCTGCAATCTCAGGCTAGATAATCCTGTTCTAAAAAGTCTACAGCATTCTAAAATCCTTCAATATTTTTTGAATTGTTAGGCCTCTAAAGGAGAATTCTGTATTTACACGTTATAAAATTTTAGAATTACTTTCCCCAACTTGATACTCTCCAAATGTGTTAAACTCCATTAATTTATAGGTACCTTAGCCCAAACCAAAGTGACTGGAAATTATGAAGTTTGTAATTAAATTTATCTGTGGGTACTAGATTGGGGAAGGTTACAACAGAGGATGTATAGAATCAAGTATTTAACAGTAGAAGATTAACCTACATAGATTAACCCTGAACCAGCTCCCACTGAGCTTTGGGACATGAGTTTTAGATAAAAGCTTACAAAACACATATAAATGTGATATTTTCTATTATACTGTATTATACGCTATATTATTCTATTATAGATATAGTGATGGTATCTAATATTAGTTTGTCCTTGGTTAATTCTATTTTAAATATTATTTAAATGAAGGATATTGTAATTTTAATGTCTTGTACACTTTATTATAATTATATATATTTACTTAAAATGTTCCTGCAGAATTATTGCAATATTGTAGAGTGCACACAAAATACTGTACAGGTTTCTTATAATAAATCATGTTAATTCATTTATATTTGCTATTTAAAGAGTTGGCTATACAGAAAAACTGCCAATTACAAACCTTTTACCAAAAGGTAGCAATCTTGATCAATATTTCTAAATATATACTTTGCACTCTTTAATCATTGGAAAGGATGTACAACTGAAGTTTATACTAAGATTGAGAAGGCTTTGGAATTCATGATATGGCTTATTGGAGCACCACCTTGTCATTTGATTTTCTCTTCGAGTGAATCAAGATGCGCATTGGGAAATAAACAGTTCTACAGATGCAGCTGGTCCATTGATGAAACTCAGGCTAGATCCTCTAAGGTCCAGTCTAAGATATCTACCAAGAACAGATATAGGAATAAAGAGTGATTGAACAAGCTAGAAATAAAACATGGCTATGTAAGAGGTAGTTTCAGAGTAATAGAATTGGAAGGGACCTTGGAGGTATAATAATAATAATAATAATAATAATAATAATAATAATAATAATAATAATAATAATAATAATAATAATAATAATAATAATAATAATAATAATAAAGTTGGAAGGGACCTTGGAGGTCATCTAGTCCAACCCGCTGCTCAGGCAGGAAACCCTATACCATTTCAGACAAATGGCTGTCCAGTCTCTTCTTAAAAACTTCCAGTGTTGGAGCATTCACCGCTTCTGGAGGCAGGTTGTTCCACTGGTTAATTGTTCTAACTGTCAGGAAGTTTCTCCTTAAATCTAGGTTGCTTCTCTCCTTGATTAGTTTCCATCCGTTGCTTCTTGTCCTGCCTTCAGGCGCCTTGGAAAATAGCTTGACTCCCTCTTCTTTGTGGCAGCCCCTGAGATATTGGAATACTGCTATCTAGTCCAACACCATGCTTGGGCAGGAAACCCTATACCATTTCAGACAAATGGTTGTCCAATCTCTTCTTAAAAACTTCCAGTGTTGGAGCATTCACAACTTCTGGAGGAAAGTTGTTCCATTGATTAATTGTTCTAACTGTCAGGAAAGTATCAAAACAAAGCCAAAACTCACAGCCACTTTTTCCAAGAATATTTTAGTAATTTGATGCAATTACAAAGAAATGTACATTACTGTAATGTTACAAATGTTGTGAGGAGAGGGGATATCTTGCTTCAGGTTGATAAGGAACCATTGATGAGTATCCCAAAGATGCTTTTTCGAAAGATAACTGGACTTTCTGTTTTTTTTTCTCCTGAAGTTGCTTTGCCATGACAACCATGACCCTGATGACTGAGAATTCCGTAGACATTTAACCATTGATGAGCACTCTGAATATAATGTTTCAGCCCCATTCGATATCCACTTAACCATCATGCCATTCAACCCCTACTCAACTGTAATGCTAAACTGAATGTTGTGGGTTTGCTGGAATCAAGATATATTATATCTAAAGCATTCCCACATGAAGCAGGAAATGGCAAATCACTTCCAAAATCTTTCCAAGACAACTGCAGGGATTTGCCCAAACAGTCACCAGGAGTTAATACCGACTCAAAGGCATCAAAAGCAAAAAATACTACATCCTAAAACAGATTATTCTCACATATGGCAGAAAATCCCATAAGCACCTTCCCAACCTTGGCAGTAAAGACACAATAAACAACACATTAAATAGCAGCTTGCTGCCTTTTCCTAACACCCAACATCAGCTGCTGAGATGGCTGCCCTTCTCTGCCTAACAGGAAAGCTGGTCCAGCCTGGTGGGATGAAGTTGATGCAAACTCTGACAGGCTTAAGCTACGTCAGCTCCATCAAGAATTTAGAGGTCTCAGACACAGACGTCACTGGCCAGCCCATTCATATTCCAGGAATTTGGGACTAAATGCCTAGATTTCTGTAATTCTTGGGGGAAAAAATGAGACAGCATTTAAGACCTCACAGGAGAAATATCGGTAATAACAATTGGAAGGAAAGAAGGAAGGAAGGAAGGAAGGAAGGAAGGAAGGAAGGAAGGAAAGAAGGAAGGAAGGAAGGAAGGAAAGAAGGAAGGAAGGAAGGAAGGAA